CAACCTAAAGGCTCGGTTTCCATCAAGAATTAAGAAAGAATGAACTTTGACAAGAAAATATGAGGATTAGAAGAACAAACCTCGAAGGAAAGTGATGAAACCCTAATCTCTCAAATGAGATCCGAGCCAAATCTGATGAAATCTGAGGAAAAGGAAGGTAAACGAGTTTGGTAACTGTTTAGGAAAAGATTTGAAGAGGTTTCGAACTCAAGAAAGTGGGCAAAAGTGAGAAAAAATCGCTAAGTATCGGATTTTATAACCCGTTAGAAGTGCAGTGACTGTTCGGTCGCGAGACAGTCTCAACTGTCTTACGCTTCCGAGACAGCTACGCTGTCTCACACTCCTGAGATAGTTACGACTGTCTCGGAAGAAGGGCCAACCCGATGTGTTTTTAATTGTGTTCGTGTGGCATCCTCGACCTATTTTCAATATATCTTGACACTCCAATAAGTATACGAGTATAACCTGCATCTCCTTGAACCTCTAATAGGTACACGAGGTTAAACTGATTCCTGAACACTTCGAGGAGTACATGAGTATAAACTGATTCTCCATGCTCCAACACCTTAAGAGCTTAAACTGTATAGACTCCAGTTACGTATGAGTATAAACTATGTTCACGCCACAATGAAGGTCGATGCCAGTCAACGCGTCGATAACTTTGCCAAAATAAGGCGCAGATCAATTCCAAGATCATTGATAATCCCTGGGAGTTCAATCATAATTTAGATATGAATTCCTGACCAAGATGATCAGTTTATCGTCTACTCAACGACACGAGCTAAATTCAGAAATCAATATATACACCAACTTCAGTTTAAGATTTCGACAACGGTCAGACGATAAATGCAGCACCAAAAGAATTTTGACTATTCGATAAAATATTGAATAGACCGAAAGCTAAAGAAGTCAAAGAATTGAAGGCTGGGCGTATCATATCCAAAGTATTCTAGCCTCTTTTATGAAAGAATGAGGCTGAAACACTTTTGAGGGGGTATCTGTAGGCGTCAAAAATTACCTATAGGGTATCACACATAGCTCAAGATGAAAAGAAGGTGATAAACGTCATTATCTAAGTTATAAAGGATTATCCAAAGCCAAAGATCACTTAAGGAATGTACAAGAAGTGCATCACATAAGTTTCGAGGCACAAAGTGTGTCTCAGAAACTATGGGAAGACTCATAGTTTCTGAGATAGTTGCGTTCTTGGAAGCTATGAGGGAAAATCATAGTTTCTGAAACACTTGCGATTGTCTCGGAAACTACAGTGGACCTGGTGATAGTTTTCTCGAGTTTTGGGCGATCCATGTGGCTTTATAACTACTGGGGACTATCCATAATCGTGGGGGAGACGTTACAAGCAAAAATCACACCAATAACTGTTGAAGTAATGACATTAAAGCGTAGTGAGAATGGTTACAAAATGGAAAAGAATGAACCCTGTTTCCGAGACAGGTACGAGTGTCTCGGAAATAGGGATTTTGTCGACTTGTTTTATTTTAACTTCAGACTTTAGTTACGGTTCTTATGGGTTATAAATACCTTCATAGGACCATTACTGAGGAGGAAGAAGTATCATTGAGCAGAATAGAGTAGAGACTTGAGCGTTCTAAGCAAGGGGGAGAGAGAGTCTTCATCACGTGCAAGCCTTTCAAAGCTCTTGTGATTCCTTGAGATCTAAGATTTAACTTAATCTCGAGAAGAGTGTTTTATCTTACTTTGCTAAGATATTCACTTCTGTCTTTGTTTCTAAAATAAAACATCGACCTTAAGCCTTCTTCACGGTTCAACTTGGATCTGTGATTTGGTCGTCTATGAGCTAACGCACTCCCGACACAGGCAAAGATCTCACACAAGCACCGAACGATAAACATTCATGCATGTGTTTCTAGGAAGTTGTTTATTTGTAACGAGAAGTCTTATAAAAAGATCTGTTTCTCAGAATTCATTGTATTCAATAAACGAGTTGTAATGAGTTCACTAAATAAACTAATTTTCGACGCAAACATGCTGGCAACCACAGTGGTAACGAGTTGTAATGAGTTCAATTTAGAAGGCCAAATTAAGACCCTCCTCTCCAAAAAAGAGTTTATAAAAATTTTTACACACCCCTCACCCTCACTCTTCATCCCTATTAATAACTATAAAGACTTTCTTGAAAGCAATGGTTGCTCTTGTCTTAGTGCACAAATCCCTTAAAAAGTTTGCATATAATGGGATTCGTTTGATGGCATCTAAGAAATGAATATTGACATTGACTTAAATATTTTTAAGATGTTCTCCATCTAAGAAGAGTTATTCTTAGGTCCGAGTCTATCTTAAAAGGGAACAATAAGCCTATACCTATCTAGATTGAGCTCAAGTCTAGTTTCTTGTTCTTGGTCATCTGAAGAGGATGATGGTTGCACAGAGTTTTATTAGAAGGAGTGGATGTTTTTGTTTAAGTTTAGTAGATTGGATAGAAAAAGGAGAAGCTTGGTCAAGAGTCATTCTAACTTGGTTATCAATCCATTTTCCCAACCTTAATTTGTAGATTGCATTAGTTTGATCTGGAGTGAATGAAAATCTAGTGTAAATTTAAAACTACTACCTCAAATCTTTAATCACTTTCAATTTCTTACCTCAAATGTTCATATTTTGAATTAGTCTCTCAAATGGGTTCATAAAAACTTAAAATTAGTCTCCCGAATAGTTAAAGATTTGAAATTTCTCCCTTAAATGTTCATAATTAGTCCCTCAAATCTTTATAAATTTCGTAAATTACTACCTTATATTTAAAATTATACCCTTGATTTGTTAAATGCTTTAAAATTCTTCCCACAAGTGATCATATTTTGAAATTAGTTTTGTCTAATTTGGGTGGTAAGCACACCATGGTGATCACAGCCATGGTTTCTTCTATTTTTTAGTTTTAACCAAACATTAGAAAATAAGAGAATCAAGTCACACATAAACTACTTTCTTGTCTTTTCAATTTGTACCAAACTAAAAGTAAATATGCCTTATGTTTTTCGACGAAACAAACACAAGAAACACTTTTCTAAGAATGTGAGGGAAACACCAAAAAGTGAAGGAAAGTGACTATTAGAAAATGAAGGAAAGTAACCAAACAGCTCCTAAGCCACAAAAGTGGGCTTATAAGCCGCTTTGACTAGTTCTCAAACATGCTCTAAAACAAGTTCCATGAAAGATGCACTGATTTCAGTAAGAGATACCCTCAATAGAAGTATGCGATGGCCACACAAAAATTGGTTGGATTTTAATCTTGAATGAAATCCCCTTCAATATCCATTACAAGTAGGGGTGTTAACGGAGCGGATACGGTTCAGATATGACACTTACCATATCCATATCTGGTTTCTATAAATGGATACAGATACAGATACAGATTATTTTCGGTAAGAAAAAACCTTAACCATATCCACACTCATCGGAAATGGATACAGTTCGGATATTTGAGAATCGGATCAGATACGACCACAGATATAAAACAGATATTCGACAAATGGATATTAATCGGATATGAATTAGTACCCCTATGTATAAACTACAACCATATGCTATTAAAAGTATATTCAATAAACATGAGATGCTTAACTTTGGCCTCTATATAAGCTCCAGACTGATAAAAAATCCATCGAAACTTAGTTTACCAACAAACGTTCAATCATGTGATACAAACTAAGAAGCCAGAGAAAAAAACTACGCCAAGCATGGCAAATCAACATGATGCAAACTAAGTTATTTACTGAGTTTTTAATTGACGATTAAGGTTTCTTCAAAGGTATCAAACATCGACGATGGGCAAGCATGAAATGAGATGCCAGAGAAAAAACAACCATCTCAATGCATAGACTGTAACCTTTCATGATGATGCTAACCATATTTTAGTGTATCTTTGAGCACAATTGGTAAGATAAAAACTCTCTTTAGAGTTGAACTTGCTATCAAGACCACTATCAAGTATCAAGGCATTTAACCAAGCGTATATCTATAATATTTCCTAATAATGCAATCATCATAGTTTTATTCACAAAAGTTGTGAAAAGTTCATACCAACAAATAAATGGAGGAAATTTGACCATAAATTTTATTTATGTCTTCCGTGAATTTATCTACTCCGTGACTACTATCAGCGCATCTATTTGTTGTATGCTTCTATTCTATTTAATGTCTACTGCAAATCTATCTATTACATGAGAACTATAAATGTATGTACTTTTTTTTTTCTCTCTCTAATTTTGGTAAAAAAATGAATTCAAATAGGGAATATTTGTGTGGAAATGAAGAAGAGACCCATACTCTAATTTTGGCAAAAAATGAATTCAGACAAAGAACATCTGGCGAAGACGAGGCGGCGAACTGGCGAAGACGAGGCGGCGAACTGGCGAAGACGAGGCGGCGAACTGGCGGAGACGAGGCGGCGAACTGGCGAAGACGAGGCGGCGAACTGGCGAAGACGAGGCGGCGAACTGGCGAAGCGGCGGGTCGGGAGTCAGGACTCGGGTTGTAGAAATTGAGTGGAGCGAAGGCGGCTAGGGTTTTTTAGTTGGGTTTGGGTTTTGGGTTGCTTTTGGATACCTAAATGGACCCGAATTCTTATATTTATTAAATTGCGGATATCTGTATCTGCAATCGAATCTTACACTCATATCCGTATCCGAATCCGTATAAAAAAAATCCAGATCTGTATTCGAAACCGTATCCGACCGGTTTTAAAAATGACTTACCATATCCACATCCGTTCGGAAACGGACGCAGATTGGTTCGGATAAAACTTTGATACCCCTAATTACAAGCCAACCAAATTTTGCGTATGGGTGTCTCCAGAGCCCTTAGAGGCAACAAAATTTTTGGACATGCAATCAACAGGCCAAACGGCCCCTAGACATCAACCAAGAAGAAACCTATTTGGGCACCTGAAATATTTACCCTCTCCCAATGGCTGTTTGCTATCCTAGAGAAACACATAAAAGGGCTCGAAACATCTCAAACTCCAAATGCATATTTATGCTCCCCTCGCCCGTTCCCTCATCAAATCCCGTTCCCCAACTCCTCCAATTTCCATTGTCATCAACGTTACATACCTCTCAACTTCATCCCACTCAAAAACCCGTCACAGAAACTCCTACTACTTCTCTCGCATTATCCAATCCAATCCAAGCCCATCATCCCTCACCAAAATCCACACCCAAATTATCACCTCCGGCCACTTTCAAAACCCATTCCTCGTCTCCAAGCTCGTCTCGGTGTACTCTGACACCGGCGATATCAAAATTGCTCGTAAGGTGTTCGACAAAATGCCTGATAGAGATACCCATTTGTGGAATGTCATGATCAGAGGTTATGCCAATGCTGGCCCTCAATCTGAAGCAGTTTGTATTTATAACGAAATGCGACGGGCTTCTGTTGTGTCAAACTGTTACACTTACCCATTTGTCCTTAAAGCGTGTGCTGCGGTTAACGATGAAAGAATTGGTCGGGGGATTCATGGGCATATTTTGATTAATGGGCTTGTGTCCAATGTGTTTGTGGGCAATGCCCTTGTGGCATTCTATGCGAAGAGCGGAGAAGCTGATGTTTCAAGGAAACTGTTTGATGAAATTATTGGAAAGGATCTTGTGAGTTGGAACTCGATGATTGCGGGTTATGCCCACAATAATAATTTTAATGAGGCGATCGATATTTTTCATAGAATGCTGAAGGAGGGTTTTATAATGCCCGATCGCGTCACTCTTGTGGCTGTTCTTCCTGCTTTAGCTGCACTGGCTGCGATCCGTGAAGGGATATGGGCTCATTCATATGCAATAAAGAAAGGGTTGGGGCTTGACATTGGTTTGGCTAGTGGACTAATTGGTATGTATGCGAATTGTGGCCGTTTGGAAACTGCAAGAATGTTATTTGATCGAACTAGTGAAAGAAATCTCGTTCTCTATAATTCTATGTTACATGCTTATGGTACCCATGGCCATGCTTCAGAGGCACTAGAGGTGTTTTCACAGATGTTGGATATGGGAATCGAGCCCGATGGTATTTGCTTTGTGTGCTTGCTTTCTGCTTGTAGCCACGCTGGGTTAGTCGATAAAGGTTTTGAGATCTTTGAAATGATGACCAAATACGAAATCGAGAAGAATCAAATTCATTATGCATGTATCGTGGATATGCTAGGTCGAGCAGGACAACTGAATCGGGCATTTGAGTTTATTAAGGAGATGCAAGTGGAGCCTGGGAGAGATGTTTGGGGTGCATTGCTCGGGGCCTGTAGGATATGGAACGATGTGGTTCTTGCAGAGGAAGCAGCAAAGAGATTGTTTGTACTTGATCCGGAGAATGCAGGGCGATATGCAATTTTGGCAAATATATTTGAAGATGTTGGGAGAGTGGAGGATGCGGCGAGAGTGAGGAGGGCGATGAGAGATAGAGGGGTTAGGAAACCACTTGGGTGTAGTATGGTGGAAGTGGATATGAAGGTGCATACGTTTGGGGTTCAAGACGAGTCTCATCCGATGACTGATGATATTTTTCATGTCTTGTGTCTCTTGCAGAGAGAGGTGAATGAGGACAGGATGGAGCTTGGGATGACTTGATTGGTGACATATTTGTGTTGTTATTGGCAAAGAGAGAGACTACTAGATGGACCAATTAGGGAAAGTGATAAGATTATATTAAATAGGGTAAAGAGAATTGGAAGCTGAATGGAATCTTCATGTAGGCCAACCCCAATAATTTTGTGATAAAGGCTTTGTTGTCATTGTTATGGCAAAGAGAGCCGGACTTTGCTCTAACAAGATTTTTTGACTGATACATAATGAAGCAAAAGTTGTATAGAAGTCAGATGAGAATCAATCACACATTGATATTGTAATACCCCAACCCTTGAGAGGGTGATGTGATTAGTATTGATAGATTTGATTGGAATACTCATACCACCAAAATGCATCTTCTTTTCGGGAACCCAACTCTTAGAAACTCCAAAGTTAAGCGTGCTTGGCCTGGAGAAATTCTAGGATGGGTGACCCCCTGGGAAGTTTTTCAGGGAGCGCGTGAGTGAGGACAAAACGTGCTGAAAAGACATGTGGTGGTTTGTGAGGCTAGTCCATCAGATCTAGTAGCGTACCGACTCTCGAGATTCCGGGGTGGGGCGTTACAGATATCAATGCTAGAATGTCTGAAAATTGTTGTATTTAATTGATTCTGGTTCATCTGAACAAGTTGTTTGGCATGGAATGCTCTGCATAGAAGAAGAAACAAAGTTCTCCGTCTGTTTGGTCACTGACTGATATGAGGCTGCAAATTTGTTGTTTGAATCACTGCTGATGATTTCTGTTCTAATGAATACTGACCTGATGATAGGTATTGGAGTCATTGTTAGCATTTCTTAAGGCAGGCTCTTGGTGAGCTTTTATCATTCAATTCTGCAGTTGTTTAAATCCTTCAGTTTTCAAGAAACAAAAAGCATCAACAAGTATTTGAAGAGATTGTTTTAAGCTCAAATTCGCTCTGGTTCTTTGCTCAAGCCTGATGATCTTTGCAGGAACTTGTGGAGACGCAGACTTCACCATGAGGCTTATATTTTACAGCTTAACGAATTATGTATTTATGTGTAAGCAATTCTAAACGTATTTCTCAGATCTACTTGTTTAGACAATTGTCTGTGAATACTAGTAAAGAAAATCTCCATTTTTTAATGTCAGTGTTGTTCTTCACATCAATTGATAGAAGTTACATGAATATATGAAGGATATTGTTTGAACAACTTAATGAAATTGAATTGAAGGATATACATCTTAGATTCACGAACTACCAAACTGGAAAAGGCTAACATACAGTGTCTGTAGCTTGTTCAAGTCCATAATTCTGGATTATCTTCTCAGGTTCTAAGTCCCTTTCCTGTTATCTTGGTACCTATTATTTCTTCTATGTCTCTCTCCACAATTTCATACTGTCCTTAAATTGCAGTCTGACTAATTAGTGTATATGATATATACGAATATACGTGTTCATGGTAATACTCGAAATATTTTTTACTGTCCTGCTATAGGATTGTGTTGGACTTTTTTTTTGGTGTCTTAAGGGTGAAGTAATATCAACCTCGCGAGCTTATCATTCTATGTCCCAATCCTAGGTCAAAACAAGTTGAATCCTTACAAAACAATAGCAAATTTAGTTTTTTCCCCCTTTTCTCTTAGGTAGATATCTTACAACTGAACCCTCCTACTTTTTCAGCTAAATTAGTCTTTGCCACGAGAAGTTATTATCATAGTGCAATTAGCGATGTTGTCGATCATCAGAAGGTCTCTGTATTTGGAAATTGTACAATAGAAAATTTATCATGGAGGTATATATTAGGGTTTCAACAGAACAACTTGTAGTAAACTAGAATATATAATATAGCTTTACTGCTATTCGAGGCTCCTAAATTTGCAATACATTAGGTCTCAGTTTGTGACTCTATGTTCATCTTAAATTTGCTATTTGACAGTCTCCATTGCTAAGACTGATGGAATTCATCTTAAATTTGCTATTTGACAATCTCCATTGTTTAGACTGATGCAATTCACAGTCAGACACAATGTTCAGAGTTCTGGCTGCTCACTTTTGTTCTTTGTTGCGTCCTCGATGGAATGTACCTGATCATCTTCAATTATTTGGATGTGAGATTGTCTATGAAATGTTGATCGTTCGGGAAACTCATGACCAAATTTCTGTTGGTGTCTATTCTTGGCAACACTCTTCATTTCAATATGTGGTTTGTATTATTCAAAAGATTTATACAAGAAGGAAAGCATATGCTCAACAAATGAAATTCATTTCTCCTCATCCATACGAGACAACCCACAACTCTACAACACGAGGATTGCAAGCAGTCCCCTGAGTAGGCTCTTCTCTGGGGAGCGTCTCCATTGCTCTTATCGCAGTACCAGAACCCGGAAGACTGCTACTACTTCCATCATCTTTCAATACATTGTTTCTGCACAACGGGCAACTAGAGCTCGACCTCAGCCAAATATCAACACATGATACGTGAAACGCGTGAGCACAATTGGGCAAAACTCTAATCCATTCTCCTTCTTCAAAGACTCCCAGACAAATAGAACAACACTCGGAGTTTCGATGCTCATTATTTTTGAACTGAACTGCTGGAAGCGAGATTATAATCTCGGGAGCTAAGCCATCGGTCTCAGTTCTAGCAATGTTGTTCTGTGAGATATTTACATCTCGGCGAATACAGTGGTTCTTAAGGAACCTGTAAAAGGCGAGGAGGAAAATGAGAATGCAAACTGATACAGCTCCGGATATAAAGATTGTGGTTGGGTATGCACATTCACTGCAGGGAGCTGTTTCTGCATCAGGGAACATTTGGTTTCTAGTGATTCGGAGAGGGTTGGGAGAAGCTTGAGTATTGGTTATTATATGTGTAGAGATATTGGACGTGAGCTTTTGAATGTAACAAGCTAAGACATTGATTGAATCGTTGGTGTACTAGAGAGAGAATAATTATACAATGGAGGAGATGATTCTGATGATGATGGCATGATAAGGCAGAAATTGACAAATAAATGTTATCCGCAACTTAGCTTTCAGCATAGCAAGCAGCTGAAAAAAGCAGGAAAAAAACAAGCCGAGGCAACACTACGAATCCAATGAGGATCCAATGAATATCCTCTTCTATTTTGCACAACAAGAATCAACTTTTGTATCATGCAGTTGGAATAATTATGCCCAAGAATTTATACATATCAATACAAATAGAACGTATTATTTTCCAAGATAAAGAATTTATTACTCTAGAGCCTACAGCTGTGGTTTTCAAGTGTGTAATACTCTTCCCAGCGAGTTGCCTGCTGATGATATGGAATTCTTACATAAAAAGTTGGGGAGTTTTCAACGAGGTTATTTATCATCCTAAACTACTAGTTACGTGATAGGTTAGAAAAGATATCAAATCATATTTTGATCTCTGTCATCAGCGATTATACGCTTCACTAGTTAATTCCAACTAGATCTAGTTATCATCAAATAAAATATTACTTATAAAATAGAATGCGAGTATAGATCTTTGGAATTTTAGTCGGACAAATTTTCAAAACCAACCGTTTTAAACATTTAATTGCAAAAAACGACCGTTTTCGATAATAATACAAACCGACCTGTTTCAGCCCGCGCTGAACAGGTCGTTTTTGTAAAAAAAGTCTCCGAAACTCACGGGAGTTCAACTGCCGTGAAGTTTATCGAGAAATTAAACTTGCACGGGAGTTAACTCCTGAACTTAATTTTGGCTTTAAAACTCACAACGGGAGTCAACTCCCGTGGAGTTACAGTCGAAAATTTGCCAGAGATCGAGTCTCTGGAAATTTGGCACTGCAACTTCACGGATTCAACTCCCTGTAATGAAGTTGCAGTCACCCAGCGTGCACAGCTTTGTGCAGGTTTTGTATATTTACCTGTAAATCATATATATTCAATTTATTTGCAAACAACAATAATACATGATTCACAAGAATTATAACTCATATATATGCCAATTTATTTGCAAACAACAATATATACATGATCAACCATGAATTAAACACACACGATTATGATATGAACAACAATTTATCTGCAAAATTCAGTTTTGAAAATTCAGGAAAGTTACAAAATTTATCAAAAAATAAGTTCATATACAACCCAATATAGCTCCCCTCCTTCCTCTCCCTCTCTTCCCCTCCCCTCGCTCTTCCCGCCCCTGGGTTCCTGCTGATGAGCCGCAACTATCTGAGTATCGGCTGTGTATGAACTGAATGCCGCTCCATCGCATGCGAAGGCCGGCTCATCGGCATGCGAAGTGCCGCGTCATCGGCATGCGAAGTGCCGGCTCCATCGGCATGCATGAAGTGCCGGGTCACATCATCACGCGGCCGTCGACGTCGAGCGTACGCCCGTCCAAATGATCGAGACCTTCTCACGGCCTGCGAACTCGCTGATCGTGAGTCTTATGAACACTGCCGCTATGCTCTTCTTGATCCTGCTGAGGAGACCTAACGCACCTGATCCTGAATCTCAGTCACGATGCCATGCAATATCAGCATCAATGCTATCTAAAACACGGACCTTGCGTGTAAACAATTATTAAGTATCAACTAATAAAAAATATTATAATTTAGCTTAGAAACTTACGTAATCTCTCTCTGTTCATCCCACTAGGGATGTAACTATCTGTCGGTGGCGTGCTATGTGTCCAGCTAAAGCTGTGGTCACGCTGATCCATCTACGTGTGATACCCCAATACCAACGCATAATACGTTATAGCAACACGCTGTGGGCCTCTATCTGTATGCAATCCCACCTCTGAACCACCTGCCTATGTAGTCCGCACGAACTACGGCCAGTCAGTCCGGTGCGATGTAGGCGCCGCCGACGATTGATCTGCTCGACAGATCTGAATATGCTGAGAGAGTGTAAACTGCCGTAGCACACGGTCGGTACATGCATCTCTACGATCTCCAACAGGATCAATGGAACTCTGGCTCTCCAAGCAGTGCAGTTTCCAGAGAACGATCTTGGAAAATTGGCAACTGCAACTGCACGGGAGTTTGAACGTCGCCGTGGAGTTTGCATGGCCACCTATTTAAGGCGGCGCGTGCCCCCCCCCCCCCCCACGCCCACCCAGCCCACAACCCTAACTCTCGCAGTTTCGTCTCCACCGCCGGCTTCCGCAGTTTGCGGCGTTGTCGCCGCTAACCCCCAGCCTCCAACGCCGCCTGCCCCAGATCCGACCGCCGCCTCTCCGATCCGGAATCTGCCAGATCGGTTTCAAAAAAAAAAGGTAAAAATTCTTTCTAAAAAAGCTATACGCCTCTTAATTTTGTATTCCGCCAGCTATTTGATTGTGATTAATGTAGAATCTAGATTTTAGAAATTATTGTGAATTGTTTACGATTTTGTGAGAAGATGTGAAAATTAGATTGAAATTATAATAAATCGTGTGAAAATGTAAAGGGAAAATTATCAATAAATGTGAAAAAAGAAGGAAAATTATCAATTAATTTTGTGATGATTTGTGGAAGAAATTAGTGTGTAAATTATCAATAATTTTGTGCAATTAGAAAAAATTATCAATAATTTCGAAAATATTGTATTTAGAGTTTAAGCAATTAATTGTGAACATTATTTAGATTTTGTGAAAGAAAATAGATATTTTTTTTTTTTTAGATTTTTGCATATGTATGATATAAATTAGATTTTAGAATTTAATTGTGAATTTATTTCGAATTTTGTGGAAAGACGTATTAAATAAATTTTGCGTATTTAACGGTGAAATATCATATAAGTGTGGAAATGTAGAGTTACTATAAATGTAAAAATTAGTAACAATCATTTTATTTGGGCTTTTCGTTGTATATTGATATGATTGTTTCACTTCCTTCGAGGTAACGATGAATGATCGAATTGTAATTCTCTGTTTTTATGATGGGAAATTAATTGCTGCGAGAATAATAATGCCGTTTATGAAGGAGCAGCGAGCGAGACCGTTGTTCATGAAAAATCGTGTACCTGTTCGATTGAATTTGGATTAATGAATTAGCACAACTTACATTTATACTATACTCACGTGAGTATACCCTCAGTTGTGGTTTGTCAATTATCCTGGTTGTGCGAGAACAGAACAAGTGGCCATTCAATATCAGTGACTACGATATGCGTCTCATTATTCTTATACACGAACGAGAAGCGTTCGGTCGAATTGTTTCATCTGAAAAACATCAGAGAGATTGGGCAAATCGTGAACTAGCAAGGAATGTATTCCCACAGTGTTGGAGGATCCTGAAGTTGATTCCTGTAGGCTTTTTATCTCTCAACAAGCATGAAATGGTGGACACAAATCAGCAAATACATGAGCGGATCCTTCGTGTCGTGGGCACGTCGAATGCTTTCGATCTAACACGGGATATTCAAGAGATAATCAAGTGTTGAATTTTCCGAGAATGATGAGAGGATGGGATTTACAAATTAATAGCATGACCTTTGAATAGAATCGTGATGAGGGGAAAACGCAACACCATCGCGACGGGCTTATTGTTAACTCAATGAGTATGTCGGCTTAGAGGATACGCGGCCACAGATGTACTTCAAGGAGATGAAATGGATTGATAACTCCGGCGATGGAAAGTGTTCTATTGGCACTAAAAGCGGTGTTGACTACACAGGCCGAGATTCTCATTCATCAAGGGGAGAATCTTAGCGAGAGTAAGGAGAAATTGATCATGCTATTCCGCACGTATGCACATTGGCAAAAAATGTGAAGTTCAGGCCAACCAAAGAATAATACTACAAGCTATAATGTGGTTTGTTTCTAATCGTCAAAGATGACGATGTCGAAAGATAATTAGTTGACACACGACGGGCAATCGAGGTTCCGTGGAAGCTTAATTACGATCGGTATCAATGAGTAGTGGGCAATTCAAAATCACGCATACATGGAGCTCCACACTTGTAGCGAATCTCTCGATTAAGATGAATAACAAGAATTGCGTCCTCTTCTTTTATATATCGATTGATTTTACCGGCATCTGAGGAGTGAATCTGATCAAGGCGAAAGATATCCGTCTTTTAGTGCATAAAGCACCAACGTTGGATGTATCATATCAGCAGGTTGGGAATGCTAGGAGGAAGGATGATAAAATATTCGGGGATTGGGAGAAATCGTATGAGATCTTACCGTCATTATCTTGAAGGCACTCAAAAGAGAAAATCCGGGACTGTCTACCGAAGTATCTTCGACCCGTTATGGCGGAGAACGGCGGTTCACCGGTGTAATTTTGGGCATTTGGGGCCTGTATGAGGGTTTCGTATTGGCCGTCCTCTTCTTAGCATTGATGGAACTCACTTATATGGTAAATCAGATAGCGTTTTGCTTGTTGCAACCGGACGTTGAAGCGGATGGCGGTTGTTTCCCTTTAGCATTCGCCATGTGGTTGATGTTGAAAATACAGAGATTGGGCTTGGTTTTTTTGGCATGCATTAGATATCATATCCTAGTGTGGGACAGCGGCATATTACTTCCATATCCGATAGGATGAAAGGAATCAAGAGCAACTCCAACAGACAATTTCCCATGCCACACCAGTGCACATCGGCTATGTCTGTGCGACATATTAGAGACAACTTCAAGAAGAAGTATGGAAACGCTCAGGTTCAAGACTTACTTTGGCAAGCCGGTGTGCAAGCCAGAAATAATATGTTTATGAAAAATAGCGAGAGAGGATCAAGTTCATTACCTCGAGCGCGCACATGATTGGATGCGAAACTAGTTTGGGTCCAACAATGTTGAAGTGGCTTTATGTGAGGAATGGCCGGTCGACGGTTTGTATGATGACTAACAGAAGGCGTCTGGAGCTTCAATGGAGGCTCAGGGAGCACGCAGGTCATGCCAATAACAGCACTAGCTTGCTAAGACTTTTTAACAGCTTTACATAAATTGCTTTGTTGACGTCGACGAACTTGGTGAAAATATGCGCTCCAGCTAACACGCGCGAAGGTTGATGAAATGCTAGGCGGCTCGGATTGGGGGGGGGGTTAAAAACAAAGCCGTCGGGTTCCCAATGTTCAGGTTGTACGATAACAGTTCTAATGATGGGAGGTGCTCGATGGGAGATAACCCATAGAGAAAAATCGCTCTTACAAAGTCAATATGTTGGTGGATCGCACCGTTGTACGTGCACTGTTGCATGTACCGCACGTACAATTTGATTCTTGTTCACATGTTGTACAAGCTTGCGTCCGACTACAGGGTGGTGGCTTTCAGCCATTTCACATTATGATATTGTCGAGCTTGGTATTCTGCTACAACTAATATACAACCTACAAAGAGTGTTTTCGTCCAGCCATACAGATAGTCGACATTGGACACAGATGGGCCACGAGTATTACTCCACTGTATTTAAAGATCGGCGGGCCCCTCTTCGCGTGCGTATTAGAAATAGTTGGATGCGGACGGTGAAGGAGCTAGGAGGAAGAAATAAGTGCAGTAGTGTGATACAACCGGGTCACAACAAAAATAGGTGTCCAGTTAGTAAATTATGGCTTGATTGTATTAATGTATCGTTTTGCACTATGTCAATTCGTAGTTGTTTATCTTTGAAGCGTATGATACTCTTCTATTGTAATATGCTTCTGTATGCAACTCGTTCATTTTCACCCATGCATTTGTATTATGTAGCGTTTTGCACATAATGTCCGAACAATTTGTAATATGCTATGTATGATACTGTGATTGGTCAATTGCACTTTGATATTATGCTCATATTTTAAAATCACAGGTCTATTCATTAGCGGATCCGGGACCGGAGAATCGCCGATGTTTTGTACCTCAGGCGAGTCCATTGTTCAGAACATATTGGTTCGGGAAGGTAATTACGAATAAATTAGATATATATTTCTCTCGATTAATGTATTTTAATGATTGCTTAAAACTGATTCTCGTTTATGTGCAGCCGTACCAGAGTAAGATGATCGAGCATTCCAATAGTCTCATTCGCATGGGTTGCATAGCAGATGATGAGGGTACTAGCTTTGATCGGCTCAAGGCCGGTTTGACCGTGTCGACGATTCGTTATATCAGGCTTGTTGGCCTTATCACTGCTTTTGATTGAGAGGTGGAGGCGCAGAGACGCAACCCTTTCACAGCATAAGGGGAGTGCACGAGCACTTTACAAGACGTGGCCGTCAATACTTGGGCTCCGGATTGAATGGACCGGTAGTTACGGGCACGACGATCAATTAGTTGGCCGGAGGTATGTGGGCCGGCTAGCTTGGACAGGTTCCCGATTGAGGAGTGGTGGGGCGATGAAGCTATGCCGTGGCTTCGTCAGACATTTCAGGGCGACATACAGAGGTTCGCCTCTGATGAGACGGCTCCATTTCAGCTCGTGACATACATATTGCAGCATGAATAAAAGGGTGCGTACTATTTCCCTGATGCGAGCAAGACTCTCGTACATCACGATGGGCCTGCCACTGCTGGAGGATTTGGTGTATGGCGGCGACTATCGTGGGGCAGTGCGGTGTTGGCATACTTTGTATGAGGAATTGGATGTGAGTATCTCTGAATGCAGAATAAGAATTCAGAGGATGCTGTACGTTGATACATGTTTGGTCATGGGAGCGCATTCTATATTGGACGACCATTACTTATGCACCGTGACTGTAAGGGGAGTATCCGTTGGCATACAGCGTATAATTGTAACACACACATGATTTCATTCGTAACCTGAATATTTGTAGCTTATATATTCGCTATTCATGATATAGGTATAACTTAGATAGGATACCGGCTCAGTACAAATCAGCAGACGGCGTGGACGTCAGTTTTTAACGAAATGAGCTTGATGGCTCCAGCATGAACAGGTTATAATATAAAACATACGAAGTAGTGATATTGATAGTTTTTTACTGTAATGATAAGATAAATGTTTACTTTATTTCATCAAGTGGAGAACCCATACAAGCCGCGGAGCTCGATATACATTCTCTTGCAACCTATCTGCCGAATAAGTCCCGGCTTGTGGAGAGCCAGAGTTCCATTGATCTGTTGGAGATCGTAGAGATGCATGTACCGGACGTGTGCTACGGCAGTTTACACTCTCTCAGCATATTCCAGATCCTGTCGAGCAGATCAATCGTCGGCGGCGCCCTACATCGCACCGGACTGACTGGGCCGTAGTTCGTGCGGACATACATAGGCAGGGGTTCAGAGGTGGGATTGCATAACAGGATACGAGCCCACAGCTGTTGACTATACCACGTAATGCGTTGGTATTGGGGTATCACACGTAGATGGATCACGCGTGACCACAGCCTTTTAGCTGGACACATGCCACGGCCCACCGACAGATAGTTACATCCCTAGTGGGATGAACGAGAGAGATTACGTAAGTTTCTAAGCTAAATTATAATATTTTTTATTGAGTTGATACTTAATAAATTGTTTACACACGCAGGTCCGTGTTTTAGATAGCATTGATGCTGGATATTGATGCGCACAGTGACTGAGATTCAGGATCAGGTGGCGTTAGGTCTCCTCAGCAGGATCAAGAGGCATAGCGCAGGTGTCCCATAAGACTCACGTGCCGAGTTCGCAGGCCGTGAGGACAGGTCTCGATCATTTGGACGGGCGTACGCTCGACGTCGACGGCCGCGTGATGATGACGCCGGCACTTCGCATGCCGATGGAGCCGGCACTTCGCATGCGTGACGGCCTCGATGCGATGACGCCGGCCTTCGCGATGCCGATGGCAGACCGGCACTTCGCAGCTTCATAACCAGCCGATACTCAGATAGTTGGGCGGCTCATCAGCAGGAACCCAGGGGCGGGAAGAGCGAGGGGGAGGGGGAAGAGAGGGAGAGGAAGGGAGGGAGGCTATATTGGGTTGTTATATGAACTTATTTTGATAAATTTTGTAACTTTCCTGAATTTTCAAATCTGAATTTTGAAGATAAATTGTTGTTCATATACATAATCGTGTGTGTTTAATTCATGGTTGATCATGTATATATTGTTGTTTGCAAATAAATTGGCATATATATGAGTTTAATTCATTGTGAATCATGTATATATTGTTGTTTGCAAATAAATTGAATATATAATGATTTACAGGTAAATATACAAAACCTGCACAAAGCTGTGCACGCTGGGTGACGCTGAACTTCACGGGAGTTGAAATCCGTGAAGTTCAGTGCCAATTTCCAGAGACTCGATCTCTGGCAAATTTTCGACTGTAACTCCACGGGAGTTGAACTCCGTTGTGAGTTTTAAAGCAAAATTAAGCTTCACGGGAGTTACTCCCGTGAAGTTTAATTTTCGATAAAACTTCACGGGAGTTAACTCCCGTGATGTTTCGGAACTTTTTTACAAAAACCGACCTGTTTTCAGCGCTGGCTGAAAACAGGTCGGTTTTTGTTGTGGTTGAACATATTAATGAGCTTGCAAAACTCCTTGGGTTTGTGTAGCATTTTGTATTTTGGTATTCTAACTTTGGGGTTTTTTTTCTTCAAAGTTGATGATATGTGGGTAGTTCTGTAAATAATGAGATTTGGGGGGTAGTTTCACAGATACACATGAGTTAAAGGTTATCTATACAAAAATCCCTACAATTTGTCACCTATATACAACTGCCAAGACTGAATGGAAGAATATGATTCATATAGCCAACCTCAAAAAATGGGGATGAAGGCTTTATGTTCGTTGAGTTTCCGTGCTACAACTACCAAGCACTACATACGGACGTTTCAGTTCTTACATATTAATGCCTCAAAAACACAAGGACAGGAATATAAAGTAGTTAATGCACCACTATAAGATGTACCCGTAAGTTAGTTACAATCTCAACAGGCATCAGAATCTTTATCATTAATAATCCCTTATCACATGTTTACAAATCTTGCCTAGATTATTGTAAATACTATGCTTCTTCAAAAAGTTAATCATGAAAAAGAAAAACATTCTTGTGGTCAAAGGAATATTTTTGGGGCGAGACCTAATTGTTGCATAAGCGGTTGGAAACTCAGGGGTCACACTTACAAATTGAAGTGCAAAATGTGGAATGCCTCACAAAAGCCACTCTAACTATTCCTCCTCAGAGGCATCTTCTTTTTCTCATGCTCACAAACAAAGAAAGCGCTGATAACTTCAAATTGATGGAGGTCTTGTCAGCTTCTAACAAGAAGTCGGACTATTTTAATGAGAGAATCAATTTTTTTAACCCATGCATAGTTATCCAATAAATTATTCCATATTACAAAATTCCATGAAAATAGAACCTAACCATCAAATACTCAAGTTCATACTTGTAACTTTCAAGTAATTATCCTCCCAAAAATATGCCTGCTGATGGTATACAAACATAAAAAGGTTTAACTTGAAAATAAAGACCACCAACCTGTCCACGTGGATGTGTTTTCTTTTCATCCCACGTCTGATGAGGTTGATATGCACCCATCGCTATTTCGGTATCTCTAGAACCTGCTAAAGATCTTTGGTTGATATTGGCAGAACCCAAAATGACATACTCGTCGTCAACTATCATACCCTTAGCATGGACATAGATCATGAACCGCCGAAATTTTTGAGCCAAAGCCTGAAAGCAGTTCTATAAAAGGTCACTGACATTCCAGTAGTCATAGTTGATACTATGTATAAAGAAAGAATCCACAACCACTTCCTGAACATTTAAGAGATAAAAGCTAATAGATCTTTGCAGTTTGTAACTTCATAATTTTTTCTATAAAAATGATAAAATATCAGTGTCAAAATGAACTTTGAAAATGTAAATAAGGAAAAGCACCTATTTTCTTCATCGTCAAAATGTTATTTGTAGGGCAATATAAGACTGATATAATCGATTCATTACAACAAATAATGTAAAAATTCGTGACATAGATACTGATAGATATGGAGCATAACTTAAAGAATTCTAAGCTATATAATATGTAAAGGATGAAGCTTTGACTATTTGGGCTAGGCTGCCAAGTTAAGACATAGATAGTCTCCGGGATAAATGGGAGGGAAGCGGGAAGGTATGAAAGGAACCGGCAAATAGAGGTAAAAAACTCAAAGAAGCTTCGCATTGCACAAGATACACTTGATAAAACACATACAAGAGCTATTGATCTATTAGATAAGAAGGACAAAGTTTGGTTTATTATCTAACTGCTAATCTTCTTCTGAATTCTGCTTCTTTTTCTATCATTTCCAGATATGTGATAATGGTTATGACTATAATCATGCACTGCAATTACAGTGACACTCAAAATGAGGGGGATAAATGAATGAAACAATGCAGGTAAAATCATCTAAACTCGTTATAACCTCATAAATTAAATTGACATCACTATGTAGTATGTGCTGCCTATTTTCTGCTCATCTTAAAATTATGGTACTTAGAATTTATTTGTAACACTAGCCAAAGGAAACACAGGAAGGCATGTCCTGAATTAGCTACGTGACTTGGACACCATACACAGGCTAACAAATACATAGTTACTGAAGCATCAGTTGCTTCTGGATAACAAGGGAATAGATGTCACAATGAATTTCAAATTCAGTCAGGTTATTCTGGTGACTCACAAATGAATGTGATTTTTTCTGGTGACTCACAAATGAATGTGATTTTTTCTTCGCAAATTATATCATCTTAATCTTTCATGGGGTTTTCTTAGTCAATGGAAATTTAGCGGGTTGCTCCATGGTAGCCTTAAACTTGATAAAAGAACTAATCTACATATCCACCTGGTTCTCTTTTCAAAACTTTTCCTGGCTAGGATCTTCATGCTGACTCAAGTTCACAGGTAGTCCTAGATTTAAATGACTGGAACTTTCTCAGCTTCAAGTTATGCTCTAACAGATGAGTCTTTAGATGATGATGGTGATGATGAATGGACAGATGAAAGTAAGGGAAATCTGTAACTGTGTAAATCCAATGGCATGTGCTGAAACTTCCTCCTTGTTCTTTTAATCAGGGTATGACATCTCATTACAGTTCATGGTTTTGGTTCTCCTATATTGGCAGAGCATAGTGAGTCTTAGTGGTCTCTGTAGATCGGATCAGAGTTACCAATACATGAAAATACAACATGCTAATCACAAGCTTCTTCATTAATATCCTTCATTTTTTTACACAGCATCAAAAAAAACTTATAAACCTAAAATCTCCTGCATTTGTAGATAACATAAGCCTGTATTAGTTGTCATATTGGCTGGTTCCGGCTAGTTCGAATTAGTATACCTAAAATTTGAAATGGCACGGATGTTTACTATAAAAGGCCAATACTTCAAACTTTGGTATATATCTTATGCAATGCATGAAAAGAGAGCATAAAGTTACGTGTTCAACCCTTAGCCAAATAGCAAACCTGAAGCAAATTTCTAAAATTTGTAATTTTTATTGCTTATGTGCACATATAGACAAAACATTATCCAAACATGTATGTAGTGTACATGTTAAACTGAAAAGACATGATATCTAGATGTCCCCGGCAGAGAATTTGGTGTCATAATTTGTGTTGCCGATGGTTAGAGACAATGTTACAGAAGGCGCTAGGCGTACTAGGCGTTCATATTTTTATTTGTTAATTACAATATTTGATAGTAAATATTAATGTTGTATAAAGCTTAGGTGCCGGACTGGTGTCTAGGCGGATTTTTTCCTTCATTTAAGTGGTAGTCGAGGAGGTTTTTGCTGAAGGTCGGAGGAGGTAGTGGAGGTGTTCATATTTAGAGGTTAAAGGAGTTTGAAAGAGGTTAGAGGACGTGGAGGCTGCAACACAAAAAATCACGATCAAGGTTTAAAGGGTGTAGTCCACGTAAACAGACAATGCTCCCCTAAACACTGCCAAAATCTAGGTGGGTAGCCCAGGTATTGCCCAGGCGCTAGACGCTAGTTAGGCGGCCTAGGTACCACCTAGGCCTAGGCGTACGCCTAGGCGGACTAGGCGGGTGCTTTTTAAACAGTAGTTAGAGAATAGGAAGTAATATACTGCAAGTTATTAGAATAATATATAAAAAAGTCTAACAAGGATCTTGAGGCATGAATGACAGTTGATGACCCACTTCAGTAGGACTTCTATACAGGATGTCTCCATGAGAACTTGAATTACACACATCCAAAATGTATAAGTGAATGCAACAAATAAGAAATGACACATTCACATATCCAAATCGTCATGTCTTTAAAAGGAAATTAGATTGAAACATCTCACACCCTATCACTGCTAAAAATATGGGTATGTTAAGGTGTTTCACATGTACAAGCATGCGTAGAGTTATAATGCATAGATTTTTTTTCTATTTTACCTTTGACTTTCTTTTGTTTTCCATTTTGACATGAAGTATTGCGTAGGCTAACCAATTCGAATAATCAGGACTTCAATCCCAGAACACTTACCCAACTGCAAAAGGCTTTACCCCTGTTCTACGGTTTCACCTACTATAATGAAGCATCAATTATAATGTGCAGAAATAAATAATATAAAGGATTCTTTTATCAAATACAGTACCGCTGCACTTTTTTCTGATGGTTGCTCTGTTGGTTGTGAATTATCTTTGGGCAATTCTTCGCGATTGCCAAGACAGTAGAAATTAAGGTAATCTTGCGGATGAGCATCCCGCATATTCATAGATTCAAGCGTCTTTCCAATAATATCATACATCATCTGTATCGTTTGAGCCTGCAAAGAAGTTCATGCAAAAGTCAGTATGTTGGTAAGTTTTTACTTCTTCAGTAGAATTGTTGCAATACACATATCAACATAATGCAGCCAACAAATCACAATATAAAAGTTTTCATAATTCAGGAGCTTTTAGAAACAAGTTTTCCAATTAAATCTTTCCACCTAGGAGACATAAGCAAGAACATGATCTGCATAAATCTATGCATCCAGCCAAAAAAAAAATGAGACAATTAGACACTTATACACCTTCAAAATGTTTTCTGCTCATCATTTACCCAAAGATTCATTCCAGATCCCTAGGAATATTACCAAATTTTACGATTACCATTTGACCATGGGGCCAAATTGTTGGCCAAGGCAATTATTGACAAGTTGTTAAGCATAAATCCTATAAGGGGAATTGGCAGAGGGGATCCCTCCTTATTGGTTTTCCTGTTTCAACGTGTCCACATAGATGGAAGCTCCAAAGTCTCCTACTTTATGGAAGAACCCAAAAGAAGAAGAAAATGATATTATTTTAGATAATAACGTTCAATTCTAAAGCACCATATTGAACCAAGGAAGAAGAAAATGATATTATTTTAGATAATAACGTTCAATTCTAAAGCACCATATTGAACCAAGGGTCGCATACAATGTTCTTCCGGGGAAACTATTTGTTACTAGAGGACTTTACACCACAATCTAGAAGCTACCTGGTGAAGATAGACGGTAGTTCTATTTATGTTTTTGCAACCAAGGATCAACCTTCAAATTTCTCCTAGAAATATGTAGACTTTTGAAGAAGAAAGATGACATGCTGCTTTCAACTTTAGTAAATTTAATTCAACTCCAAAGAACCATACAAGCCCAAGACACAAGTAGAATGCATTTCTCAGCAAGTTAAATACTGTTTGAACCTGCGAATTGAATATGTAGAAAATACGAAGGTCAAATGATGCACACCTAGCATTACGACATATATTTAAAAAAAATGAAAGACATAAACACAAGGTGTTCCCACTCAAAATCCCAACTTCAATTTTAGAGACTGAAATTGGTCATTGCCCTCCTGAGAACAGCATAAATACTACCAAAAGAAGACTCCAGTTCTTCTAATTATCACTTGGAATATTTATGAGATTCAACATCTATTTTTAGAAGTTTGGTGAGGTATCTAATATGGCTGATATGCTACCCTATAGGAGTACACCTATCATGTCATTCTGCCCAATATGTGCCCCCAAAAACATTAGATCATAAAAAAATTCTGAGGTCTCCTGAAACACAAGAAATTAGGCGCCTTTCTGATCAACCATATGAGTTCTGCAGTAATTGCATATTATTGTAGCTTGTTACTGTATTCCGCTGAAGCATGTGCAAGTTCTCAACTACCTTGTCCTTCATGACAACCAAGGAAACCTATAGGTTTAAAAGACTATGCTTAAAAGTCGAAAGCTCAGGAATAAATCACAACAAAAGGTTTAGGGTCAATTTAATAATATTAATGACCCTGTATTAACCCATAGAAATCAGTATTTATAAATCGATAATTTGGCATTGGAAGAGGGTAACAAACGTATCAGCTGGGAAGAAGTCTATTGCTTTCCCATTTATTAATTTTACTTCTAGAGGAGATACATAGTAGTAAAAATTTAGAAATACACAAGCTCTATTAGAGTTACTGTAACTCAATTAGTTGCTATTTATTATGAGCAAAATTGTGGCTTTTATATCTTATCTTGAATTTTACGTTCACTATTCATATATGAAATTATGATGTTGATGATAAGAATAATTTAAAAATTTAGGAATTTTCCTCGGCACATCTCAAATAGGTGCATAACTCGCTCCTGCTTGATGGTGACAACTGTGAAAATATGGTAACACCAATATACAGACCTTGGCGGCCATATGTTACAAATTGAACAAAAGATATATGACCAGATAACACACTTATATGAAAAAAAATTTCGGCCAGCACAACGTCTTCCCCCCATATTTTTTACAAATTTGTTGTAGAAATGTATTAGCGTAAAGCTGTATAATTTTATCATATAATGAAATGTGGTGTCAATGGATTTCCTATTAGGATTTAGAACGATATTTCTGATTAGATAGATATATTTTTTGGATATTGTAGATTTACATCCACTAAATTGATTGCAGCGTTTGCTGTAGTTTTCTCTACAAAATTGAACAAAAGATATATGACCAGATAACACACTTATATGAGGTCAACCAAAGGAGAAAGATAAATAATCAATAAGAAATAAACAGCAGAGTTAACAATGAGTTACAAACAAGTTACAAAGTAGGAGGACTTTCCGTTCAATAAAAACCCATTTGTCACCAAAAACAAATTCCTTCAAAAAGCTTGCAATGTGATTTTAGTTTTCCTAAACATAACCCAGTCGACAACAGTTCAATAAGATTAGAAATGACATATTTACTATACAAATACCAACTTGAACTTTACGATTTTCTAGTCATCAAGTAAAACACATGCAAGAAATTACCTGCCAAAAAAGAATTTCTTGCACAGAGTTAGTAGTTGGCACACCCTCAGGCCACATTGGTATTACTACATAAACTGCAAATCGCTCTTGGGCTATGATTTTGCTAGCTACCTTCAATGCTAATTCCATTGGAATCAAATTATCAGCACCTGTTGAAGCCAGAATCAATCAGTGAAGAATGTAACAGGCAATTTAAGCAGAGAATACATCTTTTCACCATATAATTCACATGGTAAGGACAATACATGTGTAATTCGGTTAAATTGCACCAACATCCACATTGTTTTGTTTACTATGACACATGCTACCAAAAAAAAAACTCAACGAGCAAGCTTTATAAAATTTGACTAATTACTTGTATGGAAAAGTCAATTTAAGGTTTTAAGGTTAATTTTGGAAAGCGGAAGCTGAGACAGAAACTACAAGAAACTAGGCCGGTATTTATTCCATTTTTCTGCATTTGGAGAGAGCAAACCTAACACCTGGCATTCACAGGGTTCTAGTAGTAATGGCCCTAATGGCAAACACCAGATACCACTTAGAAAAGCTTCCACTTTTAGTTTCTTCACGGAAAACAAGAGGTTCACAACTCCCAAAGAATATGAACACATCACAGATTTATTTTTGTACTCCCCTAACTGCGATGCTGGTAGTGCTACTAATTTGCGCTGTCTAGCTTCTTGACTTCAAAACGAAAAATGTTGACTTCAAAACAAAAAATGTTTAGAAGCACAAAAAACTATATCCAAAATACTTTCAAAGCACTTAAGTAGACCTAGTTTTCTTCATTTCTAATAATTTTACTACATTTTTTCACGCCTGCACTGCTGAAATTCTTGATTAGATTCAAATGAAAGTAATCTAGCATATGATCATCTGACATAAATTGGTGATTCTTATTGTACAAGTTACCCAGAGTAGCAATACCTCATAAGAACCCATTTAGATTTCACTTGTAAACATGTTTTTCATGAAAAGACTTGCTTCAACATACATGAAATGACTTATACAATCATCCAGAATTGAGGGTGTTTATTTTCCCTTGCTAATTTGTGTAAATAAATGCCTCCAGTACCCAAAAACTATGTCCAAGCTTCTCGTTTTGTTTGTTTCATAACATCATTTGCATCATATGGTATCTTAATTTGCACGGGCATTCATCAACTAGATAAATGTGCTTCTAATGATAAACAAGAACCACCCAAAAACTATGTCCAAGCTTCTCGTTTTGTTTGTTTCATAACATCATTTGCATCATATGGTATCTTAATTTACACGGGCATTCATCTACTAGATAAATGTGCTTCTAATGATAAACAAGAACTAGCATCATGCACTTTGCCTCAAGGATAATCATAACTAAAGTCAAAAACTCTAATCTTTCAAGTAATGGCCAAAAAAGAGTTACAAAGTTAATATTTGATTTATTATATTTTTGTATTGTTAGAAGAAGAGAGTATTAGTTTAGTCCCACATTGCTTGTGAGACTAACTAGTAACTAATCAATCTCTATAAATAAAGTATAGAGTGAGGGGATAACTCTCCAATAATCTCTTTTCTCTCCAAACTTTAACATGGTATCAGAGCCTCCGTAAACCCTAAACCCTAACCCTAATTCCCGCCACCACTTGTTCTAACTCTAACCCAAATTCCTAAACCCTAGCCGCCGCCTCTCCTCTCTCTCGAAACCCTAGCCGCCTTCTCTCCTCTCTCCGCCTCCTCTCCTCTCTCTCGAAACCCTAGCCGCCAAACATCAAATCCGTCGCTGCCAAAAATCGCGTTCTTAAATTTTAACCTTCGGGTTTCATGTTAACCTTCGGACTCTTCCATTTTAACCTTCGGGTTCTTTTATGATAACATTCGGGTTCTTGCATTGTTAACCTTCGAGCTCTTGGACTTGTTCAACTTGTGGAGGGTATCATCTTGATCTCTACTCGTTTGTTTCATGATGGCGGATCTGAGAAACTCAAGAATTCTGAGTTAACGGTCCAGACGAAAGTTTCAGAGATATTTTCTGGTAGAATCACTGACCGTAAACTTGATGAAATTAACTATTTCCAGTGAAAGCGTATTATTAAAATCTACGTGCCAGACCGAGGCAAAACTGGTTATTTGTTGACACGGACCCTCCTACTCTGACACCGGAGTCTTGGATATTAGATGATAGTGTCCTCTTACATCAGATTCTTAATACTATGAAGCCTAAAATTCAGGATTTAGTCCTTCATTGCATGACAGTGAAGGAACTTTGATGTTTCTTACAAGATCTCTATGGGGGTAGCAGTAATATTAATCGAGCATATGAAGTTATTCAAGAGCTGTTTCGTAAGAAACAGGATGATAAACTCATGGATGATCATTATGGTGAGTTTAATCGTCTGACGGAGGAACTTCGTCAGATTTTTTCTATTACTGGGAATGTAAAACAGATGCAAAACTAATAAAACAAACTTATGATACTCACCTACTTGGGTATCCTAGATTCTATTTACTCAGGGCCGGTTTTGGGCCTGTGCAGGGTGATCGACCGCATAGGGCCCCTAAAATTTGGGAGCCCCCAAAAAAATCCCTTCACCTCTGATCTACCGTCCATTTACTATTCTAATTAGATCTCAGCCGTCCATTCAAACTCTCACCCTAAAATCTTCAACCCCACACCCTCAGTAGTCAATCCCAAAACTCAGCCCCCAAAATCCCTCCCTCTCCTCCGTCTCCTTCCTCTCTTCCGTCACAGAGTCACAGACCCCCCGTCCCCGACCCCCGAATCCGATCGTCGACTCGACATCGCCTGAGCTCCCTCGGTGGCTCGGTCCCTCCCCATCCAGAAGCAGGCAACGAGGAGCGAGGCGAGCTCTCTACCTCCCCCCACGATCGTCGACTCGTCGTCCGTCCCCGTCGCCTTGGGGTCCAGATCTCTCTGTCCGCCTGAGCTCCCTCGGTCTCGGTGCTCGATCCCTCTCCTAGTCCCCCTCCTTGCCTTCAGGTAGCATTTTTTTTGTTATTTTTAATTTTTGATCTATTTTTATGTAAAGATCGAGATCTTATGCTTAATTGCTTATTGTTCAGACTCCAGAATTGATTGTTATGTTAATGGGTATGTATGTTGGATCTTAGGAATTAGGATTTGGTGATTGTTTTGATTAGATCTGAGTTGTTCTTTGGCACAGATCTGAGTTGGATTTTAGGATTTGGTGATTATTTTGCTCGAAAAGAGGAAGTTTGGGTTCATCGAGTAACTGCGAAAAGAGGGATTTTGGGTTCGTCGAGACTCAAAAAGATCATCAGTAACTCTCCAAAAATTGAGAGCTTTCGGGCAAAAAAAACCCTAATTTTAGTAGTTCAGGATCAAATTGCTAGGTTAAACTGGTTGCTAATGAACTTTTTGGTTCTTTAACTTCAGGGATCACGGAGAGTCGGAGACGTCATCAGATCTGAGCCCGCTTCAAATTAGGTTGTATTATTCTGAATCTTTTGACTTCTTTCAATTTCATTGTAGTATTTTTTTGTTTTATTATAGAAATGCCTCCAAGAAAGTATCCTTCTGGATATGATAAACGCAAGAAAAAAAGAAAATTTGAACAATTTGTCCAAACTCAAAGTGGAGCGCTTGATAAATTCATTGTTAAAGAAATACAAGATTTAGTTAAAAATTCAATTGAAAATGATAACATTAATGATTTGGGCTTGAATGAATATGATAATGAAAATGTTGATGATCAAAGTAAAAATGAAAATGAAAATGAAAATCAGAATGAAAATGAAAATGAAAGTAAAAATGAGAATCAGAATCAGAATGAAAATGATATTGACAATGAAAATGAGAATGAAAATATTTTAGGCAATGAACAACCTAATCAGTCCATGCTCATGAATTTAAATATTTATGATCCAAGAACTTGGGATAATTTGGATACAAAATCTAGAGATATATTACTGGAAAATGGGCCTATAAGAGATCTATTAGTCGAAAAGGGTCCTAAAGATAAATTAGGAAGATGTTTTTCTTCGGCATTTTACACTAGACATTTATCAAATGGAGAAAAATGTGATAGGAAGTGGTTAGTTTATTCAAAGGATATCGATAAAGTATTCTGTTTTTGTTGTAAATTGTTTAAAAATGGTTTTAACAAAAACTTTTTAATAAATGAAGGATTTAATGATTGGATACATCTTAGTTCTAGGCTTAAAGAACATGAAACAACTAATGAGCACATCATTAACATGAGTACTTGGCTTGATTTACGCATAAGATTAAAGAAAAATAAAACAATCGATAAAAATATTCAAGAGCAAATTAACAAAGAGAAGGAACATTGGAAGAAAGTATTACAAAGAATAATTTCTGTTGTTAAATATCTTGCTAAACATAACTTGGCATTTCGAGGAACAAATGAGAGAATTTATCAAAATAATAATGAAATTTTTTTAGGCTTAATTGAAATGATTGCAGAATGGGATCCGGTAATGCAAGAACATGTTCGACGTAATAACCATGATGAAATTCATTATCATTATCTTGGTCATAGCATTCAAAATGAATTGATAAGTATGTTAGCTTCTAAAATCAAATGTGCAATAGTTCAAAAAATTAAAGAAGCTAAATATTTTTCAGTAATACTTGATTGTACTCCGGATGCTAGTCACCAAGAACAAATGACTTTAATATTACAATGTGTCGATATTTCTACAAGCCCGATAAAAATAGATGAATTTTTTGTAGAATTTTTAAAAGTAAATGATACATCCGGACAAGGACTTTTTGAAGAATTACAAAATGTGCTAAAAACTCTTAATCTTGATATTGATAATGTACGAGGTCAAGGGTATGATAATGGGTCTAATATGAAAGAGAGACACCAGGGTGTACAAAGAAAATTACTTGATATAAATCCTAGAGCATTATACACGCCTTGTGGTTGTCATAGTCTTAATTTAACACTCTGTGATATGGCAAATTGTTGTGGTAAAGCAAAAGACTTTTTTGGAGTGATACAACGCATTTATATATTATTTTCTCACTCAACAAAGCGATGGCAATTTTTAATAAATAATGTAAAAGGTTTAACTGTGAAGCCATTGTCGGGTACGTTGGGAAAACCATATTGAAAGCGTTAAAGCAATTAGATTCCAAACACTTGAAATAAGAGAA